CGGAGCCTCCTCCTTCCACCGCACTCCTCTCCGCCTGCTCCCTTTCCCCGCCCCTCCCCTGGCGGCTGGAGCACCCTCGACCCCCGAGCGCTGCAGCGGGTGCGGGAAGGCGGCAGGGGAAGGGAGGAGGGAGGGCGCCCGGGAGTACCCCGATCGGGAGCCGACTGGCGCGGGGACCGCGAGGGGTGAGCAGCGCTGCCTCTCCGCCCCCCGCCCGGGCGGACAGCTCCTGGGGGCACGTGGGGGCGAGGGTCACTCCGGGGCCAGAGGGCTGGGTTGGGGTTAGGGTCCAGCGAGCCCCTTGCCCCATGAACCCCCGTCGGGCTGTACGCACACTCTGGCCCCCTCCTCCATCACCGGGTTCCCGAGCGAGAGGAGACACCGGGCCACCGAGCCTGAGAGAAGGGGTCGTAGTCTTCGCTGGGGGCAAAGGGGGAAGGTGGGGTTCTGGGGCAGGGGGAGAAGAGGGACGCAGCATGGGGAAACGAATCGGGAGGGTTGCAAAGGAACGTCGGCGGGTTCCCAGTGCGGCCCCAACCCAACCTCCCCCCTTGCCAAAGAAACGAGCTTTATCCCAGAAGTGGAGGCGATGAAGGAGACGGGTCCGGAGAAGGCCGGAACGGGCGGGGTACGACCCGCGCCCCAGGCTATGTCGCAACAGCACAAACCCAGACGGTAAATGCCCCGCGGGACGGAATCGCGCCCGCGGAGCCTGGCTGGTTCCTAACTCTTAAGAAGAAACCCAAGCGTATAAGCACGACCCGGACACGGACAGCGGTGGGGAGAGGGACTGCGGAGGGGGGACGGGGTGGAATGGGTCACGGGGGAGAAAAGGGGACATCTGTAATGTGTTAAACAAAAATAAACAAAAAAATAAAAATTTTAAAAAAAGAAGAAATCCAGCAGGAGTTCCAGGGTGGGCATCGGAGGAGTCCGAAGAGAGGTTGTAGATCGTGAACCACGGCGCTTTTCACCCCTGGGGAAGGACAGGACGCGTCTGGAAGTAGTTTTAGAACCTTTCCCAGGAGGTGCCGCCTCTCCGTCCGGAGCACTTTCCTAGGCGCTGGCGAGCCGGTACCAGCATTTCCTGCAAGAAGAATAAAGAACCGCTCAGACTGGGTAAGCGTCAACCGGTATTTTTATTGTTAATCCTCACTTGAGGGTGTATTTTTTCCATTGGTTTTAGAGAGAGTGGGAGGGAAGCGAGGGAGAGAGAGAGAGAGAAACATCGAGGTGAGAGAGACACATGGATTGGGGTTGGTGGCCTCCTGCAGGCGCTCCTACCCGGGCCTGGATGGAACCTGCAATCCAGGTACTGCCCTTGACCCGGAGTGAACCCAGGACCCTTTGGTGAGCCGGCAGACGCTCTAACCGCTGGGCCACACCTACAGGGCAACCAGTATCTTTTTAAGATTTCAAAAAGCTAGGATAGAGAGATGAGATCAGGAAATGTTCCCAGTACTACCCCATGTAACCTGATACTGGGAACAGAAATCTGCTTGTTTCCTAAGCTCCCCGGGTAATAATACTTCGGTAGGCTTAAGTTGGAGAACCTTTGGCAAAGGGTTTCCCTACTTAACCACCTCTTGCTTTTCTCAAAAACTGGCTAGCTTTTTGACAACCTGCAGTCCTTTCTTGCAATAAACCACACTTTGAGATAGGCGTGGCCTTGAGAGAAGTTGATGCTACCTACACTGGGGTCACAGGTAGGATCCCGAGTACTCACAAAGGCGGGAGAGACAGGAGAGCCTTCCCATTCAGTACCACAGAACTGTGACACTGGGCTAACTTGGATGAAATAACCAGCCTTCTGGATGAAATGACCCTCCCTCAAAAGTGCCTTCCACCAACTCAAAACACACAGCATACTACCACCGATCTTGTAGGCTTCAAAGGTAAGGTCTGCTTTCAGCAGCAGATTCCCTATTCAGAGGAAAGCACTAACAAGCTTTACCTGAGCCTCTTTGTGCTGTATTGTAATTCTTCCTATATATAAATAGAACAGTTGCTGCAGATTTCTGGATAAGTTAGAGGAAAGATCTGTCTTAAGCTGATGTGACACAATTCAGAAAAGGATAGAAATTAGGTCCAATTGATGACTGACTTGATCCCTAAGCAGGATTTATTTTTGAAATAAAAATCAATGGAGAAGGGAAGGTTCAGATACTGTAACTCATTGGTAATTTGGAGAGGGGACTGGTTGAATCCTCTTTTCATATATCAAAAGTAAGTTCTAGAAGGATTAATGAGTTAAATATATTTTCTAAAGCAAACTAGAAGAAAATAGAATATTTATTAAACCTCTGGCTAGAAGTATTTGTCATAGAAGCAAAAGAAGGAAATGATCAATGGATATGACTGGGTAATAAAATTTCTTTGAGTCAAACATTTTTTAAAAGGCAACCTAAAGCAGAAAAAAAATATGTTGACAGCAAACATTTTTAAAAGTCTGAATATCTATCTATATTATAAGTAGAGCTCATACAACTAAAGTAAAATACAGAGTCCCAGTGATTGAATATAAACAGAAAACAAGCTGCATACAAAGAAATAGAATAGTAAAAAATATATGGTGAAAATTAACCTTACTGGTAATCAAAGAAGTAAACATTAAAACAAACCAAAGACAAAGATATAAAGATCATGACCATTGGTTTGCTCATACACTACTGGTGTTGTTATGAAATGATACTGTCCATTTGGAAAGCATTTTGGCTGTAAGTTGCAGGTTAGATTGCTCCTACAATTTGACTCAGCAGTCCCACTTCCGGGAATCTAGCCAAAGAAATACTCCAAAATAAGGAAAAGTTATATACTGCAAGTTGTACATCATAGCATTATTTATGTTGAAGACTTGGCCGCAACTTAAAGATCCTAGAGTAGGGACTATACCCAGCTCCTTTTAGCCCCCTGGACCACAGTGTTACTTCCTGTTCCTGTGCCTTTGCACATACCATTCCTGGTCCCTGTCTGAAGAACTCTCCCTACCTTTTGTCTGTGAGCTGCTGCCTTTTCTACACTTTTTTTTTTAAATTATAGTCATTGATCGGCTGCCTCCCGCACACCCCCAACAGGCGATGGGGCCCGCAAGCCGGGCCTGTGCTCTGACCAGGAATCGAACCGGGATCTCCTGGGTCCTAGGTCAACAGCTGAGCCATGCCTGGCCAGGCTCTTCTACACTTTGATCAGTGTTTTCAAGACTACCTCCTTTGTTCCCTCAACACCTCCTACATTCTTCCATTTTGGCACTGGAAGACTACCTGTAATTACCTGTTTACCTGCCCTTCTCCACTCTGTTGTGACTCCTTCAAGGGTGTGGTCCACCTCCTTTTAATCTTAGAGTCCCTAGCACCTCGCTAATCTATCAAGTGCTTGGTAGATATTTATTAAAGGAATGGGTGAATCATTTACTCAACCCTTTTAAAGACATTAAGATAATGGTTATAAAGAGTACTTGGCAATGTGTGAATGAATTCTAAAGATAAATTTTAAAGGCACTATATATGGGATTATCTCAAAGTAATATGG